CGCGTTATTTCCGAACTTAACCGGACTACAATGTGTTCAGCGCTCCTGCTCACAGCTGCTCTTGACGAATACGATTGCTTTAAACCACTGTTGATCTCACAATCCACTTCACGAGCATATACTGAATTCAAATTCAAAGTCTATGCCCTTGACACAGATCCAAATTTACTCTATATGGGGAGGCTGCAGACCTGGAGCCGGCAGATTTACGCCCCTGGCAGTTTTACGCCCCGACAGTTTTAGGACCCTGTTGTTCCTGATGCGTCCAGTAGAGGGATATACTGCGAAATAACATAATTAAATCGACGCTTACACATTAATAACCCGTCCATAGACTTGACAATTTTGTGTTTTTTGTTAATTTAAATATAAACGTTACAGTGTAGATCTCCACGGATTCAATTTTCTGTAGATATTCAGTTGGGCTTCACTCTCTTCACTCAACCTACAGAAGACTATTTGTTTTTGTGAATTGAAAAATTAAAAATACACATAGTTGGATCAACTATGTGTTATGACAGGTGATGCTATGACCTACTGCAGTTATAGGCCAATTCACCATAGGTTTTTATATACAGGAGACTGAGTGAAATATGTTTTTGTGAATTTATATAAAGTCACATTTAGATATTAACCATATTTAGCCCATTAGACATGCAGTACCGTGTAATAATATGGATCCTCGATTAAATATCTGCTGTACTATTCTATTGGTCATCATACAGCTACAAAACAGTGTCCTACACAGCATTTTATGAAGACAAACACAATTTATCCCTTTTCTAAAATTCCATGGGCCATTTAGAAGATATAGACAATATTGTTGTTCACAAAAAAATATTTATTAACACCATTTATGAATTATGATGACTCCCCTATGGTTTGCCACTCTTCTTTAACTGTTTTTTTTTTTTCTTTAACTGCTCCTGCTCACTGATGAAACATTAAAAAATGAAACATTAAAAAAGTTAAAAAGGACATCCATGGTGAATTTGACCTTGTCCCTGTGTGTGTGTGTGTGTGTGTGTGTGTGTGTGTGTGTGTGTGTGTGTGTGTGTGTGTGTGTGTGTGTGTGTGTGTGTGTGTGTGTGTGTGTGTGTGTGTGTGTGTGTGTGTGTGTGTGTGTGTGTGTGTGTGTGTGTGTGTGTGTGTGTGTGTGTGTTTCCTTAAGTAGCTAAAGCAAACACACCTTTATGAGATCCAAGTTAAAGAGAACTTGGTAAAGACAGAGTATGATAAAACCCACATTAAGTGCACATACCCTACATTTGAGTCCAGATCAGTAAGCTATTTTAAGAAAAAATGTATATTAAGATGTAAATGAGATAATTAGATCATCTCATTTATAAGAAACAACTCAAACCAGAATCTACATTCAAACCATATGGGGAAAGTTTGTAATGTGTTTTAACGTATTTGAGTGAGTGTGCAGTTTAACTCTGTACTTAGAGAGAGAGAGAGAGAGATTTACATACCTATTATAAATGTGTCTTTTGTGTGTTCACACCATAGACTAAAAAAAATTCACATATTTCCATTATCTACTGTAATATTGCTCTATAAACCATGTGGAGTATGTTTTAATGCAAGGAGTAAACAGAGTCTTACCAGAAGAGGCCAAGCTGAAGACAGGCAACAAAAGAAAATTAAAATTAAAATTAATTTTAAATTGAGTAGAGAAGATAGGGGAAGCTAAACCTACACGCGGTTAGTTAAGTTTAAGCCAGATAGAACAGAAACCTGTCAAAATACATTATAGACCCATCCATTATTATGAATTGATATCTACCTACCCTAGCTCTATCGAGCTAATCGTTTATAAATAATAAATGTTGCATCATTGCTAAAAAACAATAACTTTAGCAGATTATTTAACATACAAATGACAGAATCTATTTTTGTCAGATTTTAATTCTAACGATGTTAATCTTGATTATACGGTATTATTACTTTGTCTTCTGGGCAAGTTTCATCTTCATAAAGACAGAACCATTCAAAGTAATCCTGATTCTAGAATATTCTCCTCTGATATAAAGTTCATTTTTTTTCTTCCTTTAAGAAAATGTCAGAACCTTTAAACTCAAAGGTTTATAAAACAAATAATATCATTGAGTCTGTTGTAAAGAACCTTACATGTTTTTATATTGACAAAATGTAATATTGCATATTTGTGTACCCTAATTCAATCTCTTTTGATGTCCGTTTACCCCCTTTGTTTTTTTGTTAAACAGATAATTTAATCCGTGCAGATCTACACTATAACGTTTATATTTAAATGAACAAAAAACACAAAATTGTCAAGTCTATGGACGGGTTATTAAGCGTCGATTTAATGATGTTATTTCGCAGTATACCCCTCTACTGGACGCATCAGGAACAACAGGGTCGTAAAACTGCCGGGGCGTAAAACTGCCAGGGGCGTATATCTGCCGGCTCCAGGTCTGCAGCCTCCCCCTACTCAATTTACTCGGCAAATCAGCTAACCGTTGTGGGCGGGATTAAACAACGAAAAAGTAATGGCGGCTAATTTGAATCTGCGTCATCGCCCGCACGCATGCACGCACACACACACACACACACACAAAGCCCTGATTATGCAGCAACGCAGATTTGGAAAGATATTCATAAAATATTAAATTAGGGGAGAATAAAACAATGAAATGATTATCAAAATGAGCATCTATTTGCAAGACAAGAAGAGGCTACAATAAATAATAATTTAACAGGCATAGCATATGTAGCCTACAAATATATTATTTAACCTTAAAAAAACTCACTTTAACCCCCACATGCTTAATGATCTTCAAGGAAAACATGTTGAATGACTGCTGATTTCTGCAGTTACATTTTCTTTGTTTTCTAATTTCCCAGAAAGAATCTGTAAAATATTACTAATTATAAATATTAATATTTTATGTAAAATTAGGCTACACATAACTCTGTAAAAAAAATACAGACAATTTCCTTTTAAAAAACGTAAAAATTGATGTAAAACCAAAATTCAAGCCTGTACATTTAATAGTGGACCTTTAAATTACAGCAAATATCAGTAAAATAACAGGCATTTCACTGTATAGGCTAATAAATAAAAAAATACAGACCATTACCTATAAAATATATGGGAGGTTAACAGAAGGGACTTCAATATACACTGCAGAAGTGGTGGCAATTCAGATGGCACTTTTTTGGGGTAGAAGTGATGCCAAATAAGGTTGTGATTGTTTCATACTCATTGGCACCACTTGCCCGTCTTCAAACATTTCAAACATTTAGATATGATATCTTCATAGAAATATATATCGTATAAATTAAGACAAGACAATTCTACACTTTATATAATATGCCAGCAAGTAAAGGAAACAGTTGATCATGTGTTGTTATTCTGTAGTCCTAAGTATGAACAGGAAAATAATGAATTACAAATAGAACTACAGAACATAAGAATTACAATCAGGCTGATTGAATCAGCAACATATTAAACACAAAACAAGGATCTTGTAAACTTATTAAGGCATGTTTAAGTCCATTAGAACAGTGGACTTTATAGGCTATAGATTGCATGTTCATCTGAAATCACATCACACTCCAGCACAGGAGGTGACGGACCTAAAAAGCTGGTATGTGACCCACCAATAAAAATAAGGAAGAAGTGGTGTTCTTGTGAATGCACATTAGAGATGAATATTTTGTAAATAAAGTGGAAAATTATGTCGTGTTTTTTCCGCAAACAAAGCACTCATCGCTTCATAAAATTGAGGTTAAACCACTGGAGTCACATTGATTACTTTAATGATGTATTTACTACCTTTCTGGGGCTTGAAAGTGGTAGTTGCGTAGACTGTCAATGGAGGGACAGAAAGCTCTCAGATTTCATTAAAAAGATCTTCATTTGTGTTTCGAAGATGAACAAAAATCTTACGGGTTTGGAGCGACATGAGAGTGAGTACATTTAGTCATTTAGCAGACGCTTTTATCCAAAGCGACTTACAAATTAGGACTAAATTTAAAGCGAGTTATCGCAAAGAGGCAAAACCGATGCAAGAAGTGCTCAAAATACAAAGTGCAGGCATTTCTCAGAGTAGCATAAGCCAGACAAGGGAGTATTAAGGGAAAAGGAAGGTTTTTTGATTTATTTTTATATGAGGTTAAGTGCTCACGAAAGAGATGAGTTTTCCGGGTTTTTTTTTTTTTATTATTATTTTTTTTTTTTATAATTTTGTATTCCGGATGACGGTGGGGAGATCATTCCCCCAGCATGGAACCGTGAATGAGAATTAATGACATAATTTTCACTTGACAGTCACTTTTTAAACATATAAATTAATTGTATGTATATTTAGGCTACGGTAAATGTCTGCTTGTCAGTATCTATTTTTCTTTCTCACAGCTATTTAGTTGGGTAAATCCACTCATGTGTCATTAATGTCTGTAAAAGCTTGATGCATATGGTGGTTTAACACACATACAAATATATATTTTTTACCAGGAAAATTAGACTGTGCTAGTGAACTAAATATTAAATCACATTCAAATCATGATAGAAATGTGAGACACATTCACCTACAACAGCAACACAGTAGTTTGCAAACCTTTCAACACAAATGTCAGATTATGACACTAGGGAGCCGTTTTCTTTTTATATGACAGAGATTGGATGAATGAAACTAGTGCTGTTGTCCAGTAAATCTATGACATTTAATAATCTCATTTGTCCTGCAAATTTAAGCTAGTACAATAGTTTTACCTTAAGCCTTTACTTTCAATTATCATAATCTTAGGCCTACTACAGTACTTTACAGGTCTGTTTAGATACAGTTCTTTAATTTCCATACCATTTACATTTCAACATTATAAAACATTATAATGAATTAAATTTGTGTCGTATCTGATTAATTAACATTATTTTCATAATAATGGGTTACACATTGAATTTGATACTGTAAAATAGTGATTTGTTTGCCTTAGAACTTCCTAAACATCAAGAGAAAAGAAGACAGTGATAATGAAACAATTTTATTGAATCTTCCAGTAGAGACTTTGATATTCATGGAATAAAACTGCTTTCTGAGAGTACAAGTAAGCAAGAACAGCACAAAAATAAAAGGACAGAGACAAGAAGCCACTTATGAAAATGCAGATATGAAGGAACAACATTATATATTTTCTTCAAAAAATACAAAAATGTTTACATTTTAACAGTGGATGGGATTTCACTATGAATAAAATACTCAGAGCAAGTTAATCAAAAAAAAAAAATTTAACTACTTTTTACAAAACAATATCTCTAGTTCCATTTAGAATTGTCAACAAAAAAGGTACTAACTATTTTACTCGAAAAATGCTGGAAATGCACAGGCATTACGTATATTTTTTCTCTTACTTTTCTAAAGGTGTTTTATGAAAACAGATTATTCATGGCATTTCAGGAAAAAAATAACAGTGAAAGGAGGACGTTCTTCCGTGCAGCACAGTGCACAACATAGGGACAAAGTAAACAATGCCTGCCTCTGCTCTCGTAGACATCATAGACTTACAATCCTGGGGATCAAACCACACTTGCAAAAAAACAGACTGCACAGCACTTTCTCTACTAATAAGTACATTTACACACCTTTTTTTTTTTAAATCAGTCGAACACAACTGCGGTAAAATTAGCGCAACATGTGCATGAGTTTGCTCATGCATCCCTACCCACTACTAACATGCCCTATTTTCCCATAAGTTTATCCCATTCAAAAGATTTAAGTATTCAAATATATGTATTTTTCATTCTACATTTGACATTTTTGTCCATTTTTGCTACATTTTTTCTTCTTTCCAGCTGTGAGAAATTTTGCATTAATAACCTCATTATCTTCTCACAGCTTCATGCCATTCAGTTCATTTAAAGCATTATATTTCTGCTATGTTATCTTACTTTTTTGTCTACCAGACGTGTTCACGCTATACTACTCTGTACAACACTGTACTAGTCTCTAAGCTACGATGCAGATCTTTTTTTTGCCAATGGAATACTGATTTGTAAACTGGAAAAAGGAGAAGAAATGCAAAAGAATAAGAAAGAAAACAAACAAAAGTTGGCTTAAAACCCAACTTCACTCACAAACAAGACCAAAGGAGGATACTTGCCCCAAGTATGATGGCCTCATCATTTAACATGCTTGGTCACACAAAAGTTGTCAAGTATCTTCCAGATTCTCACGGGCTGAGAACTGAGGACTTTTCAGCCAAATGTTATGCCCCCAAACAAACTGCCTTCAAGTAGAATACAACCCCCACCCTCCTGCCTTCTCCCACATCTCCCTTAAACAAATCAGCTTCTGCATGGGAACCCAGATTGACAGGGTTACATCAGCAGTTGCCTTATGATCAGCTCTGTCTAGGACACAGAGGAAATGGGGTTGTGAGGAGAGCCCATCTGGGTAAGGACTTTATCCAGCCACTGCAGGGGCCCGTGAAGATGAATCTCAATCCAGCATGGGGTGCTTGTCACATCCTGTCGATGGTACTCTGCACCCCAACCCTGAAACACAAGTACAATTATGTCTACAGTATAGTTCTCTTTAAAGGGATACTCCACCGTTTTTTCATATTAAACTATGTTATTCCCTTAACTAAGACGAGTTGATACATACCTCTCTCGTCTCAGTGCGTGCACTAAATCGCTCTGTCTTGCGGCAAAACTTTGTTAGCCCTTAGCTTAGTCCAGTTCATTCATTAGGAACCAAGCAGAGAAGCGATCAAACACCTCCACGTTTTCCCTATTTAAATACAGTTACACGAGTAGTGTAACTCAACCAAGAATGGTGACACAAAATAAAACGTTGCACTTTTCTAAGCGTGTAAAGTGGATAACTATAATGTATGGCGGAATACCATAGCAAGTGCTTGGGAGCACTTCGACTCGGCGCAGTAATATCATCACTCCTGAAAAATCCTCTCCCCCTCTCCCTCTCTGGGGTGATGATATTACTGCGCCGAGTCCATAGATATATATGCGCCGAGTGTAACTGTATTTAAATAGGGAAAACGTGGAGGTGTTTGGTCGCTTCTCTGCTTGGATCCTAATGAATGAACTGGGCTAAGCTAAGTGCTAACAAAGTTTTGCCGCAAGACAGAGCGATTTAGTGCACGCACTGAGACGAGAGAGGTATGTATCAACTCGTCTTAGTTAAGGGAATAACATAGTTTAATATGAAAAAACGGTGGAGTATCCCTTTAAAATTGTGTGCTACATGAAGGGAAAGTTAACTCAAAAACAAAAATTATAATTGAATTCTGCTTTTTACTCACACACATGTGGTTGCAAACAGGTATGTATTTCTTTCAGTGTCTTAGTTGGTGTCTTTTGTTCATACAAGAAAAGTCAGTGGGGCCCAAAACATGTATGTGTGTGTGTATATATATATATATATATATATATATATATATATATATATACAGTATCTCACAAAATTGAGTACACCCCTCACATTTTAGATAACATTTTAGTATATCTACTCAAGGGACAATACTATAGAAATGAAACTTGGATATATTTTAGTCATTGTGCTGCTTGTATAGCAGTATTTACTGTCCTCTGAAAATAACTCAACATACAGCCATTATTGTCAAAATAGCTGGCAACAAAAGTGAGTACACCCTAAGTGATAATAGCTGTATGTCATTTAACCATGCAAAGCCACATGTTCTATTCATCATTTTCATGTTTTTGTCTGCTTGATAGGACCATACAAATTGTTGTATCTTGTATTAGATCAGTTAAAATTTGTGTTTTGAGTACAATTCTCTCATACTGACCACAGGATGTTCAACATGGCACCTCATGGCAAATAACTCTCTAAGAATTTGAGAATTAGAATTGTTGCTCTCCACAAAGATGGCCTAGGCTATAAGAAGATTGGTAACACCCTGAAACTGAGTTCCAGTACAGGCCAGGGTCATACAGAGGTTTTCCAAGACGGGTTCCACTCGGAACAGGCCTCGCAAGGGTCAATCAAAGAGGTTGAGTCTGCAAAGAAAGAAAGAAAAGAAAGCCTGCAAACAGTTTGCTGAAAGCAACCTGTCCAAGAGCATGAATTACTGGAACCATGTCCTGTGTCCTGATGAGACTAAGATAAACTTGTTTGGCTCATATGGTGTCCAGAATGTGATGACGCCCTGGTGAGGAGTACCAAGACTGTCTTGCCTACAGTCGAGCATGGTGGTGGTAGCATCATGGTCTGGGGCTGCGTGAGTGCTGCTGGTACTGGGGAGATGTGCTTCATTGAGGGAAACATGGATTCCAACGTGTACTGTGACATTCTGAAGCAGAACATGATGCCCTCCCTTCAGAAACTGGTCCGAACGGCATGATAACGACCCCAAACACACCGCCAAGATGACAACTGCCTTGCTGAGGAAGTTGAAGGGGAAGTTGATGGAGTGGCCAAGTATTTCTCCAGACCTGAACCCTACTGAACACCTGTGGTGATCCTCAAGCGGAAGGTAGAGGCGCCATGTGTCCATGGCCGTGGGAACTAGGTGTGCTGAGGGTACTGCGGCACCCCCTGACGACTGATGACATGACTTTAAATAAAGTTTTTTTTTAAAACACCTTCTACCTTTATAAAATTACCCTAAAGATTATTTTGTTTTTATATGTTGTCGAGTATGTTTTTATGACTCTAAAAGAAATTAATATATCAAGGCAAAACCCGATCTCGCATGGAGTGAGTGACGTGACACTGGTTGAGGACCAGCATCTCAGAACTCATTTGACACTTATTTAATGCATGTTCTGACGTCGGTGAAAAAAATAAATATAGATGTCTTGATTAAAGCATTCATCGGCATTAGGGGCTGTTCACACAGAACGTGTTTCTCTATTCCACTCTGCCACTTTTCCATTGTTTTTCAGTGTAAACGCACTAGCCGTGTTTAACTGTTGCGCTCGCGTCTCGCGCATGACTCAAAACGCAGCACTCAAGTTAACCCTCTGGGGTCGGCGGTCTCGCCGGCGATACCAGCTCACTTTTTTCCTTATCAGTGCAAAAGAGACTCAAATTACTCTGTTGATTTTGATCTTACATATAAGTGTTGTACATCATTCGATCCTGTTAAGTTTGTATTTTTTTTGTGGAACCTCATAATAAAAACAAAGTGTTGTGCTTTTCGCCTAATAAAGAAAAATAAACATGATGCGCATTCTGTGTTCTCTCTGTCAGTGAAGTCCATTCTGAAACGCTTCCGAAAAAGCGTAACTCTGCAAATACTCAGTCAAACAGTTATGCAGGCACACAGGCATGAAGCCTGAATTATCTTCTTTTAAATAAAGTCATTTATATAAAAAACAAATTTTCTCATTTTATGTAATCTGTACGAAAAGAGAGAGATGATAGTCGTTCTCGTCTCAGCTCATTAAAGTTAATTTGACCACGCCCACGGAGCGCGCGCTCTATTCAAACACAAATGCTCTCAGGCGATCCACGCCCTCACATCAGCTGGATAACCACCGAAAGAGACTCATATTTACGACGCTGTGAGGAATAATACTATCTTAATAATAATCCTGGAAAAAATTACCTCAGAAGTAGGTAGTTTCATTTGGAGGAGCAACGGATCCAGCCGAGGAATAGGTACATTCTTTATTTTCAAGTGCTTTGTTCTAATCGCGATATGGAATAGTGTCTGTAAACAAAAAGACTGTTTGAATCGCGTTTTTGTGTGTGAATGAATGAACAGCTTTTACCTAACTATATTCCAATTCTGAGATGACTAAAAATCGACTGAAATATGTTGAAATAAAATATGTTTGTATAAGCAACGTATTAAACTGCAAATTAACATTTATATGTCCTAATCATAAAAACGATGTTACATATGAAAGACAAGATGTCGTTTTTACTGTAAAATACTGCCACATCAAATAAGCTTGTTTGCTAAGATGTTATTATAGTGTTTGTTCGATTGTAGGCTATATTCAAACTAATTAATCCGCAACTGTGAAATATGTATGATAAAATGTATACTTTAGTATATACAAAGAAAGATTACATTTGAAATATAGTTAAAATTTTAATTGTTGTTGTAATTGTAACCTTTTTATTAAAATAGCAAAAATATATGTAGGCTACATAAAAATAAATCTTAGGTAAATCTTAAAAGCTCAATATAAGCCTCCTCTTTAAATTATTTGTATTGTGTTTTATTAGTGACACATTTGGGATATATTCCCAAACTTTCTGTAAAAACAGTATGATAATTAACTGCACAATTACTAGAAATTTTTACATATGATATTATACAATTTGCAAGCACAATTTGAAAAATAAATAAATAATTGGAACTGTGAACCAATTTTGTATATAGGCATATATATATATATATATATTTTTGTCATTCTTGTGGCTCAGTGACACACCTGAATGAAAGGCTCATTAGTATGCAGCCCCATTATGCGCTCATTATGCGGGCCCATTGTCTTCTCAGGTGTGAATCACAGCAGGTCACACCCCTGCGCATATTGCCTTTCCAAACAAAAAGTGTCATTTTTAAATTTAAACCAATCTATTGTTTTATGTGAATGATAAGGCAGGATGATTTTCAGATCATTTTAAAGGAAAAAAATCTAGGCGACAACATCCATTAGTCAAAAGTCTTGTGGACACATTTAGTATGTGTTTTGTGGCCTTATTTCAGAAACTTTAAGTTTTAGTTTTTTCAATAACCACGCATAAACAATATTCTCTCAAAAATACAAAAATGTACATACATGTTGATAACACATTATGGTAGCCCTGTTTGTGCTAAATAGAGTGTAATTACACCTTTGCCAGTAATTTGTTTATAAGCAACTGAAAAAAGCACAAATGTCAGAGTATGTCAAAACATCTCAAGGAGCCCAAAAACACCTTGGACCCCAGAGGGTTAAAATAAGTTAAACTAAAACGCTTTGAGACCTTGCGTTTTTCCCCGTTCCACTGCCCGCGTCTGGCGTTTTCACTTTGAAAGTTTATGCATTCTGTGTGAACACTAACTCCTGAGCTAACTCATAAGGTAAGATGCAGATTTTTGTGCTGTGTTTTTGAAGTTTATTATGAGTTCTGAGCGTTCTCACATAACTCTGTCTTCATTCATTTGTATGTTCATCTTTTTGTTTGGGCTGTTAAATATTAGGATTTAAAAAAAAAAACTCTACCAGCACCACCCGCAATATCAAGCCTTTAAGCCCTGGCCCACCCCCAGCACCCCCCTGATAAAATATCTTCCCATGGCCATGCATGTGTCTAACAGCCAGCAGCTCCGTGATGTCATTGGAGGAGTAGAAGCGGATCCCAGCAACAACCTGTGCAGCTCTGGTGAACTCAATGCCCAGGAGGATAAAGGCAGTGCTAGATAACAATGGTGCTCACACAAAATATTGACACTTTGGACACACTTTTGTTGCCAGCTAATTTGACAATAATGGCTGTATGTTATTTTCAGAGGACAGTAAATATATACTGCTATACAAGCAGCACAATGACTACTCTAAAATATATCCAAGTTTCATTTCTATAGTATTGTCCCTTGAGAAGATATACTAAAATGTTTGCTGAAATGTGAGGGGTGTTTTACACTTTTGTGAGATACTGTATATATATATATACACTCCTGAGCAAAAAAAAAAAAAAATATATATATATATATATATATATATTTTTTTTTTTTTTTTAATGGTCTTATATATGCAGGGCCTAAAACTAACTTGTATGCCACACCTGCCAATGGCCAGTAAAAATGTATTGGGCATAAATATTTTTTTTTTACCAGCCATGAATCCTTGTTAAAGTTACAAAAGTTATTCAGTCAAAAACACTGAGTGATTGCTATTTGCCGTTTGATGTTTAATTAACATTAAAAACACAGAGAGCAGCAGGAATATTAGGCTGCTGTCACTTTAAGAGCTAATGCACAGAACCATTAAACTGTTACACATGCATTTTATTTGTCAACTGTTTACGTTCAGTAAAGACATAACTGACTAGTATGTTTACAAGGATACTTGCCAAGATGGGCAGTTTGACAATTTTATTTGAATATGTCTGTTCAAGCACAAGAAGACGTGAAAGAGAGAAGTATTCAGTATTTGTGTGCTTCTCTGGACGTGGATTTCTGGGCGAGCACTTCGGATGTTTGTGCACAGAAAACTTCCTACACTGCACGCGTAACTAATTGAGTTCCCTTTCGCGTCTTCTTGAGCTTGAATATTTAAATTGGCGAGGCTTAAAGGGATAGTTCACCCAAAAATAAAAATTAGCCCATGATTTACTCACCCTGAAGCCATCCTAGGTGTATATGACATTCTTGAACTTGAACCTTGAACTTGACGCACAACGTAATGACGGCAATTTAAGCCTCTCGCAGTTCAAACAAACAGGGCTGGGCAACCGCGTTCGTCATTCCGTTGTGCGTCAAGTTCAAGGGTTACTCTTTTGCCGTAAATCGATGCGTACGGCCGTCTGCCGGAAGCTAGTTATTTTAGTCAATAAAGTTTTAAATATAGATATTTTTCTTACACAAACGCATCGCTTCACTTCAAAAGGTTCTTATTAACCCACAGAGACGTGTGGATCACTTTTATCATGAAAAGATGTGCTTTGATGGCCTTCCAAAGACATACAGCCATTCACTCCCATTATCAAGCTTTTTAAGAGCCAGGACATTTTTTAATATACCTCCAATTGTATTCGTCTAAAAGAAGAATGTCATATACACCTAGGATGGCTTCAGGGTGAGTAAATCATGGGCTAATTTTCATTTTTGGGTGAACTATCCCTTTAACCTTTTATGACAATGCAGCACTGCCCTGTTAACTGTCCAGAGCGCCGTTCACATTTGTTCACGTTCATGTTCTCACAATTTTGCAAGTTAGAATTTATAAAAATGTTACCGGCCAACTGGCGATTGACAGATTTTTACTAACATTTGGATATATATATATATACCAATGCAAATTTATAATAATTTAGCAAGAAATCGGCATATTAGAATGATTTCTGAAGGATCATGTGACACTGAAGACTGGAGTAATGATGCTGAAAATTCAGCTTTACCATCATATGAATAAATTAAAATTTAAAATATACTGCAATAGAAAACAGTTATTTTAAATTATAATAATAGTTCATAGTATTACTGTTTTTACTGTATTTTTCTTCGGATAAATGCAGCCTTGGTGAGCATAAGAGACTTATTTAAAAAAAAAAAAAAATATTCCTATATATAGTATATGGAGAAAAACAGATAATATGCTGACATTCAGAAAAATTCTTCAAAATATCTTCTTTTGCTTTTCACAGAAGAAGGAAATGCATACAGGTTCAAAATCACATATGGGTGAGTAAATGATGAAAGTATTGCTGGGTGAGCTATGAATTATCAGTTTATAGCTTACCTTTACAAAGCTCATGCGGATGGTGCACATCTTGGTGAGTTCATAGACGGCTTCAAAACCGTGATTGACGGACTGAGCCAAGAGCTCAGCGAACTCCTGGTTGTTGAAGATCTTTAGACTGCAGCGACTGGGGATCTTGCATACGGTGGTGGGGTGGAAACCATGGTGGTAGTTGCAGTTGCGGCTCTGGACAAAGATGCTGCTGTCGCTCAAACATTCGGCATACACCTCTCCTCCCACATAGTACAAATGGACTCCTGCAAAATGTATAAAAAAAAAGTGCTTGTGAGTTTACATTGTATATGTATATATAGCTTATTAACAGCGATTTGTCATCAATATCATATTTCTATCACCATGTCCATGTCATATTTTAGTGCTATACTGTATAATTGCACTAATAAATAATCACCCAATTACATATGCAATATATCCTAGAATAGTTGATTTATACAGTCATTTCAGTGTCAAGTCAAACCTTTTCCGATGTGGCGTCGCGTGTTCTCGATGGTCGAGTTGCGGTTGACATTCGACAGCAGACCCAGGCAGAAGCGGTTGCGGTTGTTCGAGGGGTCGGTAAAGCCGTCCACCAGTACGCTGGTGGAGGAGGCCTGGAAGGCCTCTCCCACACGATTATTCAGCTCATAGTACACAATGGAGCACCAGTGCTTGGGTTCCTCATAGGCCACAGGCTGAACATCTGCACAAAACGTTATGAACTCAATGAATGCAAGTGCACATGCAAATACCATAGCAAACCATAGTAGTATGGTGTAAAGATTTAATATTATTAACTCACATGCTAAGCCTGCATTAATTTGATCAAAAAGTAAAACAGTAATATAGTTAAATATCATTACAATTTTAAATAACGGTTTTCTATTTTAATCTATTTTAAAATGTACTTTATTCCTGTGAAGGCAAAGCCATTACTCCAGTCTTCAGTGATATTTTTTTCCAGGATACTTTGATGAATAGAAAGATCAAAAGATCACCATTTATTTAAAATAGAAATCTGTAACATTGTAAATGTCTTTACTGTCACTTTTGATCAATGCAATTAATCCAAGTATACAAACCTCACCCCAAACATTTGCACAGTAGACTCAACCCACAAAACATTTTATTTTGCAATATATTAATGCACCGTCCTTTAGTACTGGACTGCGTCTTTGAAAGTGATTTAGCAATATGTTTAACAGATTTAGACTTGCATCTCATCTATTACAGCCGAGGGCATATCGATTTTACTAGGGTATTTATATGATGTCACTGTTGCTAGGCTATTAATGGTAACACTTTAGTAACAGGCAGCACTGATTGGTTAGGAATTCACTATTTAAGGGCCTACAAAATACAACCAAATCAGCATAATATATCCCAGCAAGCAATTTTGCGTATAAAAGATGTCTAATAGCGTCCAAATGCAGCCCTGACGTCTAGGCTAAAACAAGGCAAAATTTAGGCTGTCAGTGAAAATTTAATAGACGTCTAACCATAGCCCAAGAATAGACGCACAGGCTACGCAAAGAACACGTCAAAGAAATGAAACCAAACACCTTGTAATCACTGTTGACTTTGCTTACATGATGAAATGTCATACATCTCGCAAGTTATTTTGGCAAAAAAAGACATGTAACCAAATTTAAGGTTATTTTGGCTAGAAATGGGTTACTCATAGCCGGACTATATCAGGTCTATAGTTAACCTAGATGGTGAAATGAGGGCTATTGCTTGCTGGGAAGTGGCATAGCTGTCCGTATCAAATCCCACAAAGTGCAACTTGTTTTGGGTCCCATAAAATACCAATCACTCAAATGTCCTCTTTCTGATATCCACAGCTCATATGTTCCTACTGTGCTAATCCCAAAGAGAGTTAAATGTGTTTATCTATGGCATATTTCTTGACAGCTTCCTCTGGTCTGTGACACTGGGCCACAGGTGTGTTTTGTCTACTCTTTTCCCATTAGCCTATCACAATGGAAGTGTGCACTACAGCACTGCACAGGAAGCAGCTTGAGCATGCATCCCCAACTTCCACAAATATTTCAACACCTTGCACACACCCCTCACCTCCTGTGGAACTCTGTGTTTCACTAGGGCTGGGTATCGAGTTTGATGCTTTTTAGGCACCGACCGAATTGCTTTGATACCATCGAGTATCAAAAAATGTCTTGTCGTTCGGTACCAAATTTCGATACCTAAGGGATTAATCTTGTCATCGTCAGTGACCCAATAAGCATGCAAGCATGATTGGTTGTGGCAAGGCATCAAGGTAAAACACTAGTTTACATCGGTTACGCTCAGAGACGTGGCTCACAAGTTAGGCTGTATTGTAAGCGTCCCAACCCCCATAGATGTAAAAGATGTGGAAAATATAAAAAAAGTGTGTCTACATTCACCAGGCTCAATGCCAACAGGACGCGATGCAATATTTGATAAGATAACTGCTGACAAGACTGACAAAACGACAAATCTGATGAAGCACTTGACAGTGCACCGAATAAACTTAAGAGCAGAAAGTTGCTCCGTCTTCAACTGCAAGTTAACCGAAACTCAGCATTTAGGCTACTTGCCTCACAGACATGAGAACTAGGCATATAGAAAGCTTGAAATGTCTACTTTTAAACAAACCAATTCGAATCGAAAACAAATACTCTGATCATGTAATCCAAACGAAAGGTGCATTTCACTCTATAGGCGTGCGTTCACTATACTGCGGAGATGGCAATGTCAACTTCGTCTTTGTAGTCAACACTGACCAAAATAGTTTTTAGGTAATATAAATGTTAAAACTGTAATGTAATGTAAATGTAAAAAAGATTATGTAATCTTGTTAAAACGGATTTCATAAAATTGGTATAGAAAAAAAGTATACTTCAGGAACCGGTATCGAAGTCAAGGTATCGGTATTGGTATCGATATCGAAAAAATTTTAACGATACCCCTGCCTAGGTTTCACTATATGCAAACTGTATATTTGTTGCTCTGTACTGTACAAATTGGTGGGTCATTGATTGTGATCAAGTGCAGCGCTGTTTTCTTTAGAGAGATATTTAAAAATGCCATGAACACAGATTTTAAACATTGTGTTGATTTTTCCAAACATGCATAAATTAAAATGGAAAAGTAAATATTATTGAATATTTAAGGAGTAAATATTAAAATATTAAAGGAGTTAACAGCATTCTTTAGAAAAAAACATTCCAATTTTTGCTATAACTTAAAAACTTCTAACTGTTAACTGTGCAATTTACTTTTAATTTACTGTGTAACTTTATATTTTTAACCTTTTCTGCACATAATTTAGAGCATAGCCTACATATATGTTCACTATATTGGTTTTCGATTTCGATTCGCTCAGTTTGAAGGATAAAATTGAGCAGGATGTGGAACAACTCTTTTTTTACAATAATACACAGGAAATTAATCAAACAATAAAGAATTATAACATTATTTGCTTTTTTTTCATAATCACGCCACATACTTTGCTGCAAGATAAACCAGATTTAAAGGGATAGTTCACCAAAACACCAAACAGTTGATGGGTTCCATTGACTTCCATAGTATGGAAAAAAAAAATATATATATATATATATATATATACTATGGAAGTCAATAGGGTCCATCAACTGTTTGGTTACTGACATTCCTTAAAAATATTATTTTGTGTTCAGCAGAAGAAAGAAATGTATACAGGTTTGGAACAACTTGAGGGTGAGTAAATGATGACAGAATTTTCATTTTTGGGTGAACTATCCCTTTAAGTGACAAAAAGTAGAACTGTCTGTGACTTGTGTGTGTGTGTGTGTGTGTGTGTGTGTGTGTGTGTGTGTGTGTGTGTGTGTGTGTGTGTGTGTGTGTGTGTGTGTGTGTGTGTGTGAGAGTATGTTTGTGTGTGGACTTCCTGCACCTGCAGTGTGGGCAGGCAGCTGCTGATAGTTTTAAGCAGCCCATGTCAGGCTGTAAGGAAGAGGCAATATCTTTGCTGGAGTGACTGAAGCTTAAGGCTGATTTATACTTCTGCGTCGGACCTACGTCGGAGCCTCTACGCTGTAGGCTACGAGTTGGTTTACATTTATACTTCTGCGTCGTTGTCCGCGTTAACGCGAAATTACACATGCAGAGGGAGCACGTGAAACCCGAGGGAGCGGTTCTAGCAGACCAATCACAGCGCTTGCGTCTGCGTAGAATTAGCGCGTTGTTACATTTTTGGAGAGGTGCACGTCAGGGTACGCCGAAGGGTACGCGCGCTACACACAGCCTACGACGTAGCTACGGCGTGAGTTCGACGCAGAAGTATAAATTGGGCTTTAGTGTGCTGTCTTATTATGGGGGGTTTATGATGCAAATGGAGTGTACCTGGTCGGTTGCTGATCTCCAATGGCAGGTTGGGAACTAGCAGGTTAGTGTCCATTGGCTGTGGACAGTCCTGTGTCATTGGCTCCTCTGGGGGCATATAAGCAGGTGGAGGGGTTTCTTTTGAAGCAACACCCAAAAACATAGGAAAACAGAAGTAGATAAATAAATATTATCCCACAGAATCCACCTAACACTTATAACTTATATACAATATAAACAGACCTACAATTAACTTTTTTCTTTTCTTTTTTCTTAGAAGTACATGGCAGACTACAGAAAGTCATATTTATTTGTGCCCCCCCCCAAAAAATTCACTATTTGACAATTTTCCAAATGAGGAAAAAAAGATGGAGCACAGGATTCAGAGGAGAGTAAAATACCAAATTTACTCCGTTAGAAGTATTAGAAACCCCATCTCAGCCGTGTTGACTAGTTTTGTCCTTTTTAATGTGAGAAAAATAATAACGAAGTATAGAGTTATAAATGTACCTTAATCATAGCCTGTGAAAAGGATCCATAATATGTACCTTTATCAAACAGTCTTCTTCCATTTAAATTAATTTTACAAGGTAACTCAGTTAGCAAACAATGTGTCTGCTGTCCCTTAAAAAATATCATTGTATTATTTGAAGTACCTTACAGTATCATTTCAATATTATTCTATATGTAAATGGCAATCACACAAGTATCAAAGTACCATATAATTACTATTTACATTTTACACATTTGACAGGCACTTCAAACCTTTCAATCAAACCCATGACCTTGTCATTGCTAGTGCCGTGCTCTATGGTTCTGTCTCAAAACAAACATTAAAAATCTCATAAGTATGGAGCCCCTAAAGGGACATGATGAAGGAAAAAAAATTAGATGGGAAGAAAAATTATGCCAATGCTTTTGTGTTCTCTTGCAAATGTTCCTCAGAGGAATCCAAAACTTTAGGGGCTCCGTGCTACCATTAAAATGTTTGGGGTCAGTAAGATTTTTTTAAAGAAATTAATACTTTTATTCACCAAGGATGCATTAAATTAATCTAAGGTGACAATAAAGACATTTATAACGTTACAAAAGTTTTCTGTTTCAAATAAACGCTGTTCTTTTGGACTTTCTTTTTATCAAAGAATGAAAAATTATTAAATTTGATAGAAATTATCACATTTCTACATAAATATATTAAGCAGCACAACTGTTTTTAACATTGGTATTAATAATAAATGTTTCTTGAGCAGCAAATCAGCATATTAGAATGATTACTGAAACATCATATAACACTGAAAAGTAACGATGCTGACAATTCAGCTTTGCTAACACAGGACATTTTTAAAATACATTATAACAGAAATTAGTTATTTTAAATTGTAATATTTCACAATCTTACCTTTTTACTTTATTTTTGATAAAATAAATGCAGCTTTGGTGTAAATAAGACATGCCTTTAAAAACCTTACCAACCCAAAACCCTTGACCGGTAGTGTACATTTTCTACTACAGTAGAAAGCAAGACATTGAAGAATAAATAGCATAAGTGCAGCTCACCTGGCATCTGAAAAGGGCTGCCTGCGTCCGAGCTGGATGGTGAGTGGGGGAAGGTGGCTGTACTGCCTGTGCCACTGTTGGGCGAGCTGGGGTAGCTGTTGGTTGGAGAGTTTGGGGTGAAGGGTAGGGTGTTTGCTGGCTGCTGGGGAAAGGAGTCAGGGAAGGTTGCATTCTGAGGCATTGGTGGCTCTGTCTGGTGAAGTGGGTTACGAAAGCGTGGCAGCATAGAGAGTTTCGCATTGAACTCACTGTTTCGTGGTACCAGCACGGGTGGCAGAACTAGGAATAGAGAAGAAATATGCCAATCAAAAGCAATTAGAATGGAGAAGGTGACACGAGAATCCGTCACACTTTTGAGATATGAATGAGACGTGAATTCATCTGCCACTACTGGCTAAATTTTCTTTTCTTTGTTTATGGACACGACATGAACACACAAGTATGAATTCTGGAAATGTCCTGCCAAAAACCCAATAGCTCTGAATATTAATCATTATACTCTAGTGCTTTGGAGGATATTTTATGTACTGGCTAAATAATTAATTTCTAACACAAAATTCAACAGTAAATACAGTATTCTGTAGTGTACATATAAAGAATCATCAAAACACCAGTTCACCCAAATATGAATATTCTGTGATAATTTACTCACCCTATAGTTCCAAACCTCTATGACTTACTTTCTTCTGTGGAACAGAAAAGAAGATATTTTGAAAAATCCATCCAATTAAAGTCAATGGGGTGTAAAACAACTTTCAATGTATGGACAAAAACATATACCTTCAACATATCTTCTGCGTTTCACAGAATTAAGAAATTATTACAGATTTGGGAATGCCATGATAGCAGAATATTCATGTTTGGGTGAACAATCCATTTAATAATTTATGATTATATTTAGTGTTTTGTTGTCCACAATTTTCTGTATTTCTGTAATATACAAATTAACCATCACATCCAAGAGTCTACAGCTAACTCATCCAAGAGACATATTCACAGTTGTCACACACAGACATGCTCTCTAAAAATAGTAGAGCAATAACATGTGGTAACTGGTGTTTTGAAGTGGATTTTCAGCTATAAACGTCTCACCACCTATGTTGCCCGCATGCCTTTTCATTCAGACAGGCTAAGAGTTTTAGACTGTCAAGTTGTTTCCAGTGAGACTGGGAACTTGTATTTTAGCGATATAGCAATGAGTACTGTTAAACAATAATTGTTGCCAGCATGCTGGCGTTCTGGAGAGGAGGGGAAAGACAGGTGTCCAGATATCCACAGGCCTGCAAGCGTGTGCAAGGCAGGCATCCTCTCTTTCCTGCTATTGTCTGTGTGGGTGACAGGAGTTCCTGTAAAACTCTTCCTCTTTACAGCCACATGTTTGCATGTTTCAGCCGCCACACACACACACACACACAAGTGTACACAGACCCTGAACAAAGCCCTCATTCTGCCTCCGACTGGAATTTCCTGCTCCTGCTCTCATAATGTGCACACACATATATATACACACACATACTGTGGACAGCTGTTTCTGTGTTGTCAGCTGACCCTCATCTTCTGCTTAGCCAACAAAAAGGGGGCTGTGCATTTGAAGTCCATTCTTTCACCAAAATCAGAGGTAAAGAAAATGTTCTCATTTCCCATTAAGACACACACACACACACACACACAGAGCACAGAAGGTTTTCGATGCTACCAGATTCTCTCAAGTGGTATCAGGATCAAACAAACGAGAAAAGCACCTGGCAGAGGCCAGAGAGAGATATGGAAGGGGAAGGACAGAAAAAGAAAGAGACCATCTGCAGGAACCATGGGAAAGGAAAACTCAGGAACATGCATGGCAAAGGTACACATGGGCTATATAATTCATATGGGATTCACTGAAAGAGTGCTTTAACTCACTTGTTCTTCTAAAGGTAAATATTAACAACAGGAAAGAGAAAATCTGTACACCAAGATGAACTGATAATAACACTTAAAGGGATAGTTCACCCGAAAATGAAAATTCTGTCATCATTTACTCACCCTCACGTTGTTCCAAACCTGTATGAGTTTCTTTCCTCTGTTGAACACAAAATAAGTTATTTTGAAGAATGTTGGTAAACAGCCATTGACTTCCACAGTATTTTTTTCCTATTGTGGAAGTCAATGTCTACCTTCAACTGTCTGGTTACCAGCATTCATCAAAATAACGTCTGTTGTGTTCAACAGAAGAAAGAAACTCATACAGATTTGCAACAACTGGAGGCTGAGAAACTGATGACAACACTTTTATTTTGGGGTTAACTATCCCTTTAAATTATTTCAAACAAAATATTCCAAAAGGACAAATCTTTGCTTAAACAACTGACTCACAAACAAAGTCCAGTTTAGCTGTGTTTACAGGATCCCACACCTTTTAGCCAATACATATCCATGACTTTTCCATCATTTTTCAGTGACATTTCCAGCTGTTCGTGACTTCTAAGTAAGGATTTTCACAAACATTTTATAGAGATTAAAATCACTAAGAGTTCCCTAAAGTGGAAGAATATTACATACATATTACTATTATAGATTTCTATGACTTTTCAGCATTCAACCCCTGAAATTAGTTTTAGATTGTGAATGAATGTGGTTTTTTGGAACGTATCTGTAAAGAGAAAGAATCATTCTTGTTTCCTTCCATGCACTGACTCATAATTTTTGTTCACTGAAGTATTGCCCTTTTAAAGCACATGACTGCTTACGAGAACAAGCATTTAAGTGAGGACTGTCAAGGAGAATTTTATTAGTTGGACCTTCTCTGAACGAGTCTTTGTTTTCACAAAATAGTTTTGACAAAATGGAAGAGATTTATAGATAATAAATTAACGATCTGATGTTGTCATTTGTGGGGTAACTACTTAGGATGCTTAAACACTCTTTCTGGAGTCTCTTGGAAGATTTTGTGGAAACACATTTGTTAATAAAGGATAACTATAAAGATATTGTCCACACCAATGGACAGTAACATTCTGTTTATTATAAGAGTGCACTGCAGTTATGTTGTCTGTCACTTTAAATGCTTGAGCTATTTAAAGTCGAGCAGATGCTGATTGGCTGTCAATTATTTTGTCATTCATTAGCTGGCAAAAAAATCTGAAACTGACTCCAACGATTGTTCCTGTAGTATTCGTTATTGTTGTGGAGTGGACTTCCCTATTATTAAAACACTTATATAGTTATCATCCTTGGTGTAAATGTGTGTAAAAGTGTTGGTAGTGAATGCCTGTTGTTAATAATTTATGAATTAATAAACTGATTAATTATTAATTGTTATCTCATTTAAACCTTTCCACCAACTATTCCTATAATGATGTAACCTGCACAAAGGGTCATTGAACAAATGTGAATGATTCTTTTTGGTAAACAGGTTAAAAAAATTTAGTCACTGAGATGAATCCAAATCCAAACGTATCTCTCAGCTGCTCATACTGCTCATGATCAAACTCAGTCACTCACCTGGACTGTCCACCCTCTTGTAGTGGTAGGGGTTGATGCACACATCCTTCTGCTTAGACCCAAAGGGGAACTCGCAACACTCCAGGGCCTTGAGCTCATGGTGCGACTGTAGGTCGGGCCAACGCCACACTCGGCAGTAGATTACATGAGGCAGCCCCTTCCGGTGTGACACCTGGAGCCTCCCGTCTAGTGAGCGAGGGATAGTGACACAGTTGCTTGGCTGACCGGGGCAGCTGAGTGCCCTCTCCAGCTCCTCCATAGCACCCTTCTTCTTCTTCAGCTTCTTGACCAGTGCATCCACTGCCTTTTCTGCCCACTTCTCTTCTTCGTCACCTTGCTTCCAGCCCAGCAGTCGCTTGACTGCCGGGCTGGTGAAGGAGAAGAGCGAGATGACGCTCATTGTGGCGCCACGTGCGCCCCAGCCAACGTTGTCACACTTACTCCGTAGGATTCCACCACACAGGAACAAGGACTCTCTGCTCTACCTCCTCAAAGAGAATCAAAAACTCAACCACAGCGACACATGAACAAGGGTATTGTTGAAAGTTGTGTTGTTTCACAGTTAGGTCAGATTGTCAAGTGCACCTGTAAAGAGACAGACAACACAGTCAGACATTACTTTGGGATCCGTTTAAGAGGTTCCACTACTGACACTAAAGGCTGGAAAACACTACATGACTTTGCCCAGATTTTTGCCCCGATTTGCAGTCTGCACTAGTCGACAGATCCAGCCTGCAGATATTGGGTAGTCCAGTTAACAGATTTACAGAAAATCACACTTCAGATTTTTGCCGAATCCAAAAGCTGAAAAATGCTGTAAGGTAGGAAGGCAACAAGGAATGTCTGAATTTATGATCATATCACATCCTGTCTAATGATCTTATCTTTTTGAAGGCAGCATAGATGTATTCTTCATTGGCAACAAAATCCCACTTTCCTGTGTCTTCAACTCTGTGACAGTTGAACTAAAAATAAAATGGCATCAGGAAGTAGCGCATTGTGGTCAGTTAGTGTGTGAATGTATGTTTTTGAACAACATTTTTTTACAACTTTTGTTTTTAATTTTAGGAATAAATTAGTGTTGTAGTAATTAAATATTCACTTAAGCTCTCTCTATTTTTTGTAGATAATTTTACTGTTATGCTGCCTTAGAAGCCTGTCTAAAATCAGTTTCAGGAGTTACCTACTTCATACACAAACGTTGCCTGTGAAGTCATTGCCAAATAGGTCTACGAGGCAACAAGTCAGCTATCTATGATTCCATCCAGTTAGAGTTTATGAAATATGTTTGATATTTTGAGCTGCTTTTAGACTACATAGTTTTTTAATTTGTCATACGTCTTCTACAAGTGGCAACCTTCCGGTCTTTCTCTTGAATCCAACACAGCAGATGTTTTTTTGTTTTTTTTTACAGCCTGGTACAAAGGTGGTTTTGGTCTATATAGCTAATTTTAATTTTTTTAAAGGGCGTGGCCACTTGAGTGACAGGTGGATTGCCGCTGCTGTCACTACAAGCCGTTTGTCTGCTGTCTGTTTGCCGTCACGTGACCTCTGCTAATCCCGCCTCTTTGCTCATTTTCAGTTTTCCGGGAGACACGCGCGGTGACGCACTGCCAAGATGGCAACGGCCAGCTCTGCCCACTTTGGGCTTCAAAAATGCTCTTCAGAAACCTACGGGTGACATCACCGGACACAACGTCCATATTTTTTTTTACAATCTATTGTCTTCTAGCAATGAGCCGCATGTTTCTTCTATTTTTGTGTTCGGAACAATCAGGGAGTCTGGTAGTGTGTGATCCTCAGTCGGTTTTTTTTTTGTCAGTTTTTTCTCTGTAACCAAATTTGGTAAGCGTATAATTCCTAGTGTTCAGATTTTAAAAGTCGTATAGTGTATTCCAGTCTTAATTCCACAAATCCAGAACAAATGACGCAATACATCTTCTACCCTGACAACACTGATGATGACATCATTATTTTACAGCTTCTCGGAATGGCTGCCTTTGGAGTCACAGCGCAGAGCTTCCAATTACATCTGCTCTACGGTAAGTTCTCGAAATGGCTTTCAGAATATGGGAAGTGGGATGTGTTCATACGGCACGCTAAACGATACTGCCGTGACACACTGCTGAGTGATGCTGTATACCACTGAACAATGTCCTCCTGACTCATATCAGTTTCCTCATATGTAAAGATGCAGCTTATTACAGGATGCTATTCAAGACACCGCTGTAGGCTTTGGAACATATTCTAGGTTCTAGTTAACTGTTTAAGTGGTCAACAGGCAAAAAGTGCAAATAATTTAATAAAGGGAGCCTTTCAACAATCTTAGAATAGAGAAGAAATGCATTTGAGATAAGAATAAAAGTGTCCATTCAGAAGGATCCCAAGGCAGCCATTCACTAACCAGCATTCATGATAATAGGAAGGGAAATAAGAGTGCACAATGCAAGATTGCACACTTCTTTTGAAGTTACCAGATGGTTCAGCATAGCATCCTCATTGGAATAAAAGCAAGAGGCCTGAAATATTTTTTAAGATTCAGACGCTTTCACTTCAAGGAGGATAACTGAACCACTTCTAAGTTGCAAAACACTATTCTAGCTATTTCTAGACAATACCTATTCCCTTTTTCCCCATCACCTTCCACACATAAAGACTACAGTTATCTATATATTTTTTTGCCAAGGACTTGCCTGTGATTGATATGAATCCACTTTAGGTTGTATCAGAGTCTGAGTGGCAGGTAAGTGTTATCCACTGACTCTATTCTGGCCCATCAACACTAGATAAGAAAGGTGACATCAGAGAGCAGCTATTTGAACTATGCTGAGTGCTAAGAATAATGTTGTCCTCGGTGAGTATGACTGCCCTCAGCTACTGTTTCACTTTAGAAAGCTTGTCTGATGTAGGTTACAATCAGGGCAACGTATCACAACACAAATGCCTCTATAGAACTGACCAGTTTCAACAATAATATTCTAATTCAATAGCCTAAACGTTTTACAGCAAATGTCTTTTATCAGTAAAATGTTCTCAACAAAAATCACAAAATGTCTTTGGCTTATAAACTCACATGAACTCTGCACATTGGAGTGGGAGTCATTCAATGAAAACAGGTGCTATTTATTAACTGGGAAGGAGAGAGTATAGCTGACTGTTATCATGGACCACAGCGACAGGGAGGCTAAAAAGTTGCTCCTATATTTAGCATCATCTCCCAGCCAAAAGCTCATTTAAAAGCCTGGGACCTTCTGCTGTTGTCAGGGAGGAGGTGAGCAAAGGGTAGGAAGTGCATCCCCAATTAACCTGCAAGATCTTTTTCTTTCTGGTTGGTTTTTGGGTTGTCTTTTTTAACACAAGGGATCCTAATAGTACTTAAAACTAGCAGACATTCATGACAAGTTCTTTCCTCAGAGCTTCTTCTTAAGACAAGTGAAGGAAGATAACAGAGGGGTAAAAGAAGAATATGAGGAATTTTCCATCTGTTCTTGTGGAATAAGGTGAGCTTGCAAATACTTAATGCCATTAAAGATCTGTCAATGCATCAAATTGTGTGGAATCTTCTATTGCTTAATCCTTTTTTAGATTAATGTGATTGATAAATGTAGATGTTTTAACAATCCAATTCTCAGCTTAGGCATAATTTTCATAGGACTAATATACAGAAGAAGAAGAAGAAGAAGAAGAAGAAGAAGAAGAAGAAGAAGAAGAAGAAGAAGAAGAAGAAGAAGAAGAAGAAGAAGAAGAAGAAGAAGAAGTAATTAACCTTAATAATTGATTCTGGACCATTTTGACCAATTTTTTCTTTTCTTAAAGAGAGATCAAATGAGGCTTTACATATGATGTTATGCAGACTTTTTTTACGAGTTAGATTTGTCTAAAAAACACTTTTTAATTATCCCCTTGCCATATCCCACACACACTTTTGAGACTGAAAAATATTGATGAACAGGAATATGCTCACCTACTGATGAACCATTGCAGCATGAAAGTTTAAGCAAGTAAAATTTATATATTTTGTTTGAAAACATTGCTGCTGTTTTGATTCAAAATTAAATACAAAAGCTTTCATAAATTTGGACTGTTTTAGAGTTGATACTGGTAATTCTTAAAGTATATGATCTTATAAATTTCGTATAATTATATATTATAGCCTATACAATTATATAATTTCTCATGAATTTTGAAAAATCGATATATTTTTCTTGCATTTTCTTGTTTTTTTCAGCAGTTCGTGTAAAATTTGAAATGTCAAATAATAAAAGTTGGTAAATGTAGTAATAACATGGTAATAACACTTAAAGGGCACCTATTATGCAAAATTCATTTTTACGTTTGAACATAAATATGTGGTGGCAGTGTGTGTACACAACCACCCTATAATGATAAAAATCCACCCAGTGATAAAGTCCTCCCCATAAATCATAAGCAGTGTCTCAGAACAAGCCGTATTGAGATTCTGAGCAATGTGACGTACTTTTGCACAAGCCCCGCCCATGACTGTTGACTGGCACTGCCGTATTAGCATAGACCCGCCCTGAGTGAGCTGTACACAGTCCGGCATTGTTTCGACGCCGGAGCAGAAGCGATTTAGGTGTTTTGTTGATGGATTTAAGAATGAACATATTCGTCATTTACACCCGACATCTGAGTTGCTGAAGAGTGGATTACTTTTGTTTTTGAAGGGAATGAGCCCCCAATCTACCTAAATGCGTTTATGTTTGAGCGAATTATTTTTACACCAGACTGCTTTGTGAACGAAGGTCCATACAAAGCAGGATTGATAAAAACGTTGTTATCCGAGGATGGATCTGTACCAACTGTTGTGTTTGTGCTCCAGCTTACAGTCTTCGGAGTGATACTGGTCATGGCAGTAATGAGTTGTTTTATTACAAAATTCTTACATATTGTACCTTTAAGCACCCACCAAAAAGGTCTGTATATATTTGTTTACTGTTAGTTGTAACGAGTGTTTTGTGTAATTCGCTGTGTATGTTGATGATAATGCAAGGTAGAGACAGAGTTTATAGATAAGAAGTTTTGTAGCTCTTACGGTGATTTTCTAGCCTGGATGCCAGCCCGAACCCCGCCCACAACATTTTTTGGTCGGGAAGTTCGGTCTGGACTCGATCCATTGAGGAGTAATTATGATCTGTTCAGAAATCGTCGGGCCAATCAAATTGCCAGGGCGGGCTTTATACGATGATGGACAGATGATCTCCATTTGTTAAAATCAGTCAAGTCGCGCTGCAACCGTGTTATAAAGTTGAGACAGGGCCGACAAATGCGACCAGATTTGTTTGCTTTATTGTCCAGATCTAATCCTAAACGGAGAACTTGTTCATATACATTCACCTTTTCTATTTCTCTCAAAAATGCTTTTCGTGTTTGCAAGTACTCCACGAATCCTTAAATTCTTTTTACAACACCGGCAAAGATCGTTTACACTCATTATTTTACTACTTCTTCCAGCGTTCGTGCAGTTGAGTTCTGTTGACAACTATGCGTGCTCAACATACGTCACTTACTGAGTTGCTCTGATTGGTTGTAGGTCTATCCAATTGAGTGCAGAGTTTGTTTTTTTC